GGTTGCAGCGCGCCGGCCGTGGCGGCCATTGGAGGGTGAACCAACGGCAAAAGGAAGACCTTCCTCTCTGTCTCTCTCTCTCACTGTCCACTCTGCCTGTCAAAAAAAAAAAAAAAAGTTAAAAAAAAAGAAGTGGTATGCATAATTGCTGTTTAGTGCCCCAGGCCATTTAAAAATGTGAGTGTTCCTTGGGGCATTTATGTTGTAAATGTCTTTGTGTGGCATCAGAGAGACGGGGAAACTTTCAGAAATGTCGGGGAAGCTGTCATCTGAAGATTGTGTATGCTACGTGGGAAGCAGAGGACTGCAAAGCTATGGTGATAGTCAGTGTGTGTCCACAGCACTCTGCTCTGCACACAGCCCCTCCACTGTTGGCTCTGAGGCCCTTATGTGTCCATCTTGGGGACACAGACTGGGACTCTGAGGTGAGGCTCTGAGGGGAGCTGGGTCTCCATAACTCATCATCTTGGTAGAGTCACCTTGGGGAACTTGGGGAACCTTGGTGGCCAAGTGTTTGTACAACTCCATCCTGACCCTAGCAGGCAGGAGAAGCCTCTCCTGGGGCCGGAGGCCATGCTTCTCCAGGTTGCCCCGAGTGCTAGCCCAGGAGGGGAAGGTCTGGATGAGATGTGCTGGAAATGGTCAAGTATTGTTTATATGTGAAAACTCATTTTCAAATCTGTTCCATCCTTCAGTCCATCTATCCACACACAAGGATACTTCAAAAAGTTTGTGGAAAATGGACTCAAAACTTGGGTACAAAAATGTTTTGAAGTTCAAGCATTTTTTAAATATGCGTTTTCCATGAACTTTTTGAAAACAGCTTATAAACTTATACACTTATACATACATATGTACACATGTATTTTAAAATAAATATTGTTTTTTAGGATAATCTTAGATTGAAAGAAAAACTTCAAGGATAATATAGAGAGTTCCTGTATCTTATCCCAAGTTTGCTCTATAAATATCTTTTATTAATATGGTGAATTTGTTGTAATTAGTGAACCAGTATTGTCTTATTAACTACAGTCCATCCACTGTCCAGAATTCCTTAGTCTTTCCCTGACATCCCTTTTCTCTTCCAGGACCTCATACTGCATTTAGTTGACCTATCCCCTTAGCTTTCTCTTGACTTGGAGACTATCTTCATTATTTTTTTATTCTAAATGGCATTCTGTCCTTCCTACCATGTTCTCATCCCTGGTCTGTGGAGGAAGGGTACACCACATGGACTGGGGCCTGCTCTGTGCATTATCTGATTTACCAACCACCTTGACTCACCTATAAGGTGGGCTAGTCGCGAGCAGGGGAGGCTCAGAGGGTGAGCCTACCCATAGTCACAGAGCTCAGTGACAAAACGTGTTGCAGTGCTGGCTCTGCCAGTGTCCCCTGGCCATCACTCAGGCACTGTGGTGGTTTGATACAGCTCTGGATCTTCAGGTCCCAACTCTGAGGGCTTCTTATCACCACAGCCCCTGCTGACAAGTTGCCAGACTGCATGGTGGGGGACAGGCCTGGAGTTGCACAGGTTGGAGGGTGGACATGTATTTGCCCTGGAGCATTGATAACAGATGTTTATAGGACATTGCCTTGCTGTCACAGATGCCTTTGAAGTGGGAAATTTTTCTGTTTGCTCTATGCAAGAGTTACTGTTACATATTATGTTAAGGTCTCACAAGCCCTTTAATTGTGCTTTTTTTTTATTTTATTTTTTTATTTTTTGACAGGCAGAGTGGACAGAGAGAGACAGAGAGGAAGGTCTTCCTTTTTCCGTTGGTTCACCCCTCAGTGGCCGCTGTGGCCAGCGCATTGCGCTGATGCGAAGGCAGGAGCCAGGTGCTTCTCCTGGTCTCCCATGCGGGTGCAGACCCCAAGGACTTGGGCCATCCTCCACTGCACTCCCGGGCCACAGCAGAGAACTGGACAGGAAGAGGAGCGACCGGAACAGAATCCGGCGCCCCGACTGGGACTAGAACCTGGTGTGCCAGCGCCGCAGGCGGAGGATTAGCCTAGTGAGCTGCGGCGCTAGCCTAATTGTGCTTTTAAGGTCTATACCCAGACTAGGAAACAGCTATACTTTTCTGGCTATTTCAAATAATTTGATTCCAAATAATATATAAATGTATATATGGATATCTACTTTTCAAGTCTGGTTGTTGTTAATTAAGAAATTTTGAGGGATTCTTTGACATCTCCTCATACATTTATAAAGAGTTTTGAAAGATCTTTTGCTAATTATGCACTCAGTATCATGCTGAATGTTTCAGAACTTTCTCATGAGATATTGGATAGCACCAGAAGAGAAGTCTACTGCAAATGGTTCTCGAGATTGACAGGGAGGAAAAGTGAACTGTGTGCCTTGTTTCCCAGGTGACCAGGGCCCTGTGATGCACTGTTTCATAGCCCAACAGGCCTACGTGTCAGAGAGACCTGGATTTGAATCTACTTCTACCACCCGCAAGCTTTGTCGCCTAGGGTTAACAACGGCCCTCTAGCCCTCATTTTTTTACCTGTAAAATAGGCTGTGGTAAAATGGTCTAGTACAAGAAGGCCACTTGGATGACAACACACAGTGCAATGATCTTTTCACACCCCGGGGGATGGGGTGAGGCAAGGGCTGGCTTTCAGCCTGTGGTGGTGGGAGGAGCAGACTGATGGTAAAATCCTCAGTAGACATACAGCCCCTTACCAGCTGCACCTGATGTATGCCACTTGCTCTAGGTATTAGTGCCCTTCTTATTACTATATCAAAATACCTGAGGCAACCTGCCTTATCTAGGGGTTTGTTTTAGTTCATCTGGAGGTGCAAGGTCTAGGGCTTCATCTAGCAATGGCCCTCTTACCAGCAGAGCCCTGAGGTGGCACCGAACATGATGTGGCGAGAGACAGGGAGTGCCTGTATCTGCTCTGTAAACGTGAATCCTTACCACCGTTATTGAGTCACTCTCTCCTGTCATGCTGTGTTCAGTTATTTTTTAATTTGTTGGAAGTACAGCACAAGAACTTCTCCTTGAACCTTTTCCGTTAGTGTATATTTCCTACCAAGAAAGGACATTATCCTGTGGAAACTTAATGCTGCTATTGAAGTCAGAAAACTGACATTGACACACCTACTAACTAGGCCCTGTAATGCCCTTTATAGCAAAGGCTGTCATTCAGAATCACCTGTGCTACTTCATTGTCACAGTTCTCAGTGTCCCTGAGCAGTGCCTTGGTTTGCCCTTGACCACAGTCTGCCACTGGGCACGATTTCAGAGTGGCCAATGTAGTAGCCTGTCAGGTGACTCATGACTTTCATCTGTGTTATTACTTGTGTGTTCACTTTGGTCCTGGGTTAATGTGCCTGCTAGGCTTCTCTCCTTTTTAACTGAAAAGTACTTTGTGGGGAGGTACTTATTCATCTGTGTCAGCATCCATGCTGATTTTGTTGTATTCAGCCGATGACTATGTGACACCCCTCATTCCCTGTGATGCTGATTTTGTCCCTGATGTGGTCAGGGAGCCTCCTCAGACTGGCTTCTATGTCCTGACCTGTCCACATTGTCCTTGAGCACTTCTTTACTCTGGGGACAGTAAGATGTTTCAGGCTCCTGTCATCCTCAGTCCCACCCCAGGCCTGTAGGTAGCCATTCCTCCATGGAGCCCTGATTGCTTTGAGAGGAGGGAGATGCTGAGAAGTAAAAATCTGCTTTGGGGCCAGTGCTTCTCCCCAGCCCTTTCTGCACATGGAGGGAAGGAGAGGAATGTGAGCGAGCATACTGTGCATGCATACTCATTTATGTCTGCCTGGGGAAGACTATTACCTCCAGTTTCAACTCAAGTGTCCCCTTTTCTGTACTTATAATAATTCCCTTCTCTGAAATGAAAAATCCAGATCTCATTATCCTTAATGTGTTGACTTAGTTAATTAAGTCCTTTGGATATACCCCATCTCCAGACTTGGAGGCCACCCCCTTCCCAGGTGGACTCTCATCATTCGTGTTTGGTTGAACCTTCACTTCTCGTACCAGGCTGCCCAGTGCAAGGGCACCCTCATCACCTTACTTGGCTCTGACTCCCCATGGGGGCACTCTGTCACACGTGTGGCCGCCTCCCATCCTCATGGAAGAAACACCTACCCTGCTCGGCTTCTGGGCTTAGTTGAGGAGGAGAAGGCAGCTCACATTGTTTTTTAAGGGGGAATAGGCTGTTCTGCTGCTGCACTGACTCCTGCAGCCTGTCTGAGCAATCCCCCCTCCAGATCAGAAACTGTCCTCACTGGCAGTTTCCTATAACACTATCGAGTCCCTAAAGCATTTCTGTTTATTTGAGGAGCCCATTTGTAGTGTCAGATTTATGAAGAATAAAATATCACTTTTAAAATATCTTAGATACATATTTGCACTTAACTTTCAGCTCTTTGAAACTCTGTGTACGTTTTAGCCATTACAGATTCTTTTCCTTTTTCTTAAAAAAAAAAAAAAAAGTGTGCTCCTAAACAGAAAAAAGATAAGCACAGAAGCACCAATATTCATAGAAACATGAAAAGAGACAGCAACTTAAATTTGCTTGGAACTTCACCTTTAATTTGCAGGGAATGAGTTATGAGAGCAGTGTCTCATACTGAAAGACACAGGACGGAGACTTTCCACCCTGTCTTAAAACCAGGAGAAAAGTGAAGCGGGCATTTGTGGCTATAGACTGTCTCCTGGCTTCTCCTTGGCAAAAATCCAAAAGTCTTTTCTGAGTCACAAGACAGCAACTGCCTGTAAATACCACCGTCCTTTCAGATGTCGGTGCTTTGCCGTGAGGGCCAAGGATCGACTATCTAAAATGATAATGGAAAAGGCTGCTGACAGGGATGGGTAGGACTCCTAATATCATCTCTGCCAATCATATTTTTTCTGTTGGTTTATGTGAATGGTCAGAAATAGCATCAGCTGACTCCGTGTCACTGTGCATTGTGACTGTGCGATCTGTTTCTCACCTTCTGCTTCTCTGGATGTTCTCTTATGCAGAACACATACACCAATGCAGACAAATTACTAGAAGCAGCAGAACAGCTGGCTCAGACCGGGGAATGTGATCCAGAAGAGATCTACCAAGCTGCTCACCAGCTTGAAGACCGGATACAAGATTTTGTTCGACGAGTTGAGCAACGCAAGATCCTACTGGACATGTCGGTGTCCTTTCACACCCATGTGAAAGAGGTAGGCACGAGGAGGCAAAAGCATAATTGTTGTCTGGAAAGATCTTTGGATTCCTCGGAAGGAATTTGAATTTGGTTGTGAGAAAGTGGACCAGATTGGCAAGTCACGAGATGTAGCCTGGTGTGGATAGTTAAGAAGCGAGCTTCTTGTGCCAGCCCTCCTTGTCATATGACTGTGTGCTGCCTTTGCAGGGGTGGCTACAGGAGAGGACTCATGAGGGCTGGGGAAAAGAAACTGAATGAGATCCCTTCAACTTTGAATGAGATCCCTTTAATTTTGGAGAATTTGAGCATGCTCAGTTAGCATAAACAAGGGACCAGCATGTGGTAGTCAGAGTTGTGAGGTTTCTGTCTGGTAGTAGCCTGTCATGTGGCTGAGTCATGTTGCCTTCTGACTTTGTTAGGTCACTCTCACATACTTAAAAAAGTGAGTATTATGTACTGCTGAATCTGAATGCCCCAAGGCCAACATAGTACAAGTAATATTGATGCTAATATATGAAGTATGTTCTCGTTAAAGAACTTTCTCATGGTGAGAGAAAGTGTGTTATTCGCTGTATGAAAAATGGGTAGATACTAAATATGCCTTATATATATTTGTATATGCTTTTCTTGGTAGAAATCGTAGAAAGTTATGTTAAAGTAGAGAGAGAAAAAGAGAGATCTTCCATCTGCTGGTTCCCTCCCCAGATGGCCACAATGGGCCAGTGCTAGACCAGGCCGAAATCAGAAGCCAGGAGCTTCATCCAGTCTCCTAATGTGGGTGGCAGGGGCCCAAAACACCTGGGCTATCCTCAGCTGCTTTTCACAGTCCATTAACAGGGAACTGGATCAAAAGAGGAGCAGCCGGGACTCAAATTGGCAGCCATATAGGATGCCAGCATCATAGGAAGTGATTTTACCTGCTGTGCCACAACGCTGGTTCCTGATTAGTTTTTAAAGCAAAATTAAAAGTGAGACACGGAGCGGGGGGGGAGCCGATCTGTGGCGTAGCGGGTAAGGGCACTGGTTCGAGTCACGGCTATCCCACTTCCAATCCAGCTCTCTGGGAAAGTGATGGAGAATGGCCCAGGTTCTTGAACCCCCGCACCCATCTGGGAGATCCTGAAGAGGCTCCTGGCTCCTGACTTCAGATTGGTGCAGCTCTGACTGTTGTGGCTGTCTAGGGAGTGGGCCAGCAGATAGAACCTTCTCTCTCTCTCTGCCTCTGACTCACTGTAGCTCTTTCAAATAAATCTTTAAACAACAAAAAAAGTGAGGCAAAGGACTAAGGGGAAGAAATAATTCTATTCTCATGAGTGCATGAAGTCACTAATATATCAGATGAATGAAAACTTTCTAAGAGATATACATTATCTGAATCAGTTCTTAAGCAGATCATACTATTTTTAAAGACTTTATTTATTTTAGAGGTAGGGTTACAGATAGAGGGGGAAAAAGGGAGAGAGAGAAAGAGACGGGGTGGGGGGGCGGGGAGAGAGCTTCCATCTGCTGGTTCACTGCCCAAATTGCTGCAATGGCTGGAGCTGGGCCAGGCTGAAGCCAGGAGCTAGGAGCCAGGAGCTTTTTCCGGGTCTCCCATGTGGGTGCAGGGGCCCAAGCACTTAGGCCATCTTCTGCTGCTTTCCCAGGTCCCTGCAGAGAGCTAGATCTGAAAAGGGGCACCTGGAACACAAATCAGCACCTATAAGGGATGCTGTACCACAGATGGAGGCATAGCCCCCTGTACCACAGCACTGGCCCCAGCAGATAATACAACTTAAAATTACATGGTGGAAGATAGAAATGGAAGCACTTCTGTTTAGGTAAATTCGCGAAGCTTTTTAGAGGTACCCAGTACACAAGTCATTCTTCTTCATGGCCAGATGGCGTAGTGTTCCTGTGTCTTCCTCTGAGTGTGATGGTTGTCCTCTCATCTTGCAGTAAATTTCTGGCTCTCTGATGAACAAGTGAAACAAAGGCGATCCCAAAATAACTCATGTTAAACAGGTCCTGGATCAAGGTGATGTCCACTTTCTGATAGCTTAGGGGTCTCTCTAGGAATTTGGAACAAGGTTGGTGCTTGGAAGTCTCATTGCAGACCTTTCATTTACACTGCAAACCAAGACCTCTGGACTCTTAACTGTCCAGAGGACAGAGGATGGAATAGAGGTCACCTGCTCTGGGGAAGAGAGAAGAGACATTCTCATAGTGAACAGATGCTTTGTGCCCTGAGGTTAGATGCAGCAGGTTGTTGGTAGAGATCTCAGCCTCAGCTTCTCCTCAAACTTAGATTTGGATGCATTCTAGGGCCCTGTTTCCTCTAGAAAGAATCATATAATGCTTAGCCTACTTTCAAAAAGCTTCCCTACTAATTCTTTGTCCTATTTTTTCACAGCGTCTTTGACTATTTAGAAGGAATCTTGATTGGCCCAACATGACTTTTGGCTTTATTTTGGGAAGATTATTATTCCCCTACATTTTGTCTTCCATCTCTTACTCTTACTGTTCCTTGCAGTGTTATTCATGGCATTTACTCACATTTGTCTGATTACTGTCTGCCCTCCTTCCCATTTACATGCACTTTTTCACTTGTTTTTCATTCACTTATTCTGGTTTTTTTTTTTTTTTTTTTTTTTTTTGGACAGGCAGAGTGGACAGTGAGAGAGACAGACAGAAAGAAAGGTCTTCCTTTGCTGTTGGTTCACCCTCCAATGGCCGCCGCTGCTGGCGCGCTGCAGCTGGCGCACCACGCTGATCCGATGGCAGGAGCCAGGTACTTCTCCTGGTCTCCCATGGGGTGCAAGGCCCAAGTATTTGGGGCCATCCTCCACTGCACTCCCTGGCCACAGCAGAGAGCTGGCCTGGAAGAGGGGCAACCGGGACAGAATCCGGCGCCCCGACTGGGACTAGAATCCGGTGTGCCGGCGCCGCAAGGCGGTGGTGGATTAGCCTAGTGAGCCACAGTGCTGGCCGCATTCACTTATTCTTTTCTCTCATTCCTTCCAAAGTGCTTTCCAAGTCCAATGTCATGTGCAAGAAGGTGATACCAAAATGAATGACCAAAGGAGCAACATGTACCTGTTCTTTTGCATGTCTCACGTTGTAGACCTCTGTATTTTGTTTCTCTGGATAGATTTGAAGTTTCTGGAAGGCTGGGACCTTCCTCATTCCCACAGATTAGCCCACCCCCAGAACTTAGTAGATGCTCCGTAAAAGCCAGTGGAATAAAAAGTGTTTATTTCTTGCACATCATTCTGAGATTTAGTGATAGATTTAGTGTTTGGATGTCATTTCCATTTTCAAATATAGCAAAACCAAAATTATTTCCATCCATTCTCACTCATTCAACATCATTCTCAATGTTGGGACCTGGGTTAATTTGTAATTACTTTTGCAGTTTTTGGGTTATCTGAGGCAACCAGGTGGTAACATGGAACTCTGGCCACAGTTTGCTTCTGGACCTGGCTCAGGGGCCTTGCATTGATTTTTGTTCTCAGAATCCATGGTTTCCTAGGAAAGCTCACTCCCCTTTGAGTTGGGCTGTGACTCTTGCCGGGTTAAGTGAAGAAGCCTTTTGATTCTGCTTTTGCAAACTTAGAGATGGAACTGGGACAGGTTTTTGTTTTGAGTAATGCCTGGAAAAAGAGGAACTTTTCATTTTATTCAGAATTTAAAACTAAAGGCCTCCCAACCACCTGGAGATTTTTATTTATTTATTCAATTATTTATCAGCAAAGCAGTGTGACTTGATTTTTTATGCCTGACAGTTGAGCAGTCAGACTTCTTTCTTGGTTGGGGCCTGTGCTCAGCCTTCCTAGGGACAGCAGGGAAAGAGCCAGCAGGCACCTTTTACTGGGTCCAGGGTGGCGGGGGTGGGCTTGTTAGAGCCAGTGCTCCTGTTAGCTGTCAAGGCTTCTCAACAGCAGGTGGAGCTTTCTGAGCTGCCGTCTGTCTGCACTTGCTGCCTTTGCTGCAGGAGTATGCTGAAGGTAGATCCGGTGGTTTCTCAAGCAACCACCCTTTCACAGACACACATTTCTTCTCTCTTCTTGTGGAGCTGGAGAACTCACTGGGCATCTGATGATTAAACCAAAACAGAAACACCGGCTAAAGGTACCTAGGGCTCATTGTGTAGATAGCTATCCTCCAGTGAATTATAATTATTTGAGGTTGCAGAGCAGAACCTGTTTGGGAAGCCTGGCTTCCTTCCCTGGTGTATTCACGGAGAATGTGAGTCTCTCTGTTCTTCAGAAAAATAACTGCAGGCCATAGAACACTGTTGTCTGAGTTATCCCAGCTTCTCTCAAGCATCTGATTCTTCAAGATCCCTGTGTCTCCTGTGAGAGTTCTCAGAAATTTGGTTCTCAGCTTCTGAGCCTTTCTTCTCCTTCTCAAGGATATTTTGAAGAGAAGTCATCTGCCTAAATTCTCCCCAGTGACAACTTTCTTCAATTTATTTCATTCTTATATGTACCCATCTACATAACTACAAAAATTAGTGCCATAGCTTTAAATGTATTCCCAGCTTTTAGAAAAACCTTTTGTATTAAAACTAAAGTTGCCACCACCCCCCCCCCCCCACAGAAATGAACAAGGAGGTGCCAGGAACCTTCACCCAGTCTCCTGCACTGGCAACATCTTCTATGACGGTGGTAACTGTCAAACCAGGAAGAAGGCTGTGCTACAACCCACAGAGCTGATTCATTCCAATTTTACTCAGTTTAAGTTCACCTATGTGTGCACATACATAGTTAGTTCCATGTGCTTTCATCACTTTTAGGTTCATGTAACACCAACATTTTTTTTTTTTAATTTATTTATTTATTTGGAAGAGTTACACAGAGGAAAGGCAGAGAGAGGGAGAGAGAGAGAAGGAAGTCTTCCAACCGATCGTTCACTCCCCAGTTGACTGCAACGGCCGGAGCTGTACCAGTCCAAAGCCAGGAGCCAGGAGCTTCCTCCAGGTCTCCCACACGGGTGCAGGGGCCCAAGGACTTGGGCCATCTTCTGCTTTCCCAG